TGGAGGAGATGGGGGGCAGGAAGGGTAGGGAATGGCTCGGCTGTAGGCCTTTGGTGGAGCGCCCCCCCCCAAGCTTCTCCATCCTGCTCTCCTCCATCGTCTTGGGGATGTTGTGGCGGCTGCCGCCCTTCCTGCCCTCTTTTGCTGCCCAGCCAGACAAGGGCAAAGAAGGAGCCATGAATTCACCCAAGGAGCGCCTGGTGCGGATGGCGCTGCCATTTACATCTCGCCAGGGGCGAACAGACACTTGGGAAGGTCCAGCCGGAAGCCCCTTCTCTTCCTTTCTGAACCATGCATGGTTTGTGGCAGGCCTTCTCCAAAGGGAGGTGTTCTGCCCTCCCACCCCGCCTGCCCACCTCCCTCAGCAGGGGCAGGCCAAGCGGGCAGCGTCCTCGGTCCCTCTTGGCCTTTTGCCATAGGGCAAGCGGCTGCGGCTACCTCTGTGGGGCCCCCTCTGCCTGCCTGCCACGTCTTGGGTGCCCCCCCCCCTCGGCCTCTTCCTCGGCTGGGCTGCCGTATGCAGTCTCTTAACCTGTCAGGTGGAGGCCGTTCCAGGGCCCCTCTGTGGCTGGGGTGACGGATGGCTTTTTTTTTTTTTTTTTTTGAGGGGGGGGTTAATGGAAGCCAGCTGTTTGCTGGGGCCTGCTGACAGGCCGGGCTCTCATCTTAAAGGGTCTGGTGTGCTTCACTGGCAGGGAGATAAGTGGGGCTGGCCCCACATGATTGCTGGGTCAGGGGATCTGGTTTCTCTCCAGCATCCTGTTAGCAGTTAGGGTTTGGGGAGGGGGGAGGAGGTGCCCCAAACCCTCCTCTTCTTCCTGGGGGCAATAAGCAGGACCCCCGGATTCCTCCCCCAGGAAGGCAGAGATGTTGGGGGGGGAGGAGAGGGGAGGAGAGATCCTCCTCCAATTTAACCCCACTGCTTAAGGAAGTGCAGCCAAGGGGGCCCCACTCCTAGGACCTGGCCCGCTGTTTGTACGTGGGAAGCCAAGGATGGGGCTCAAAGGCCGAGGGCCCCTCGCAGGCACCCTGGTTGCGTCTGGCCGTGGACTGCTCAGACGTACACGGTTGACACCCTCGGTTGCACCCTCAGAAAATGCCCCACGGGGCACAGTTTTCCCTTGGCAGTCTTTCCCCTAGGATTCTGGCCCGAGATCAGCTTTCCTTGGGAATCTCAGAAAATGCCCCGCGGGGCACAGTTTTCCCTTGGGCACACCGTCTTTCCCCTAGGATTCTGGCCTGAGATCAGCTTTCCTTGGGAAGTCCATGGGGGTGGGTGGGAGGGAAAGGCTTTCTCTCAGCAGCTCCTCAGGGATGAAGCCCCCTAGGCAAGGAAATCAGCACCCCCCCGCCCCCTGTCCTTGCCGAGCTTCCAGCGACCGCCCAAAACAGGGCTATTTGGCATGCTCGGTTTCCTTACAAGAGATGTAAAAAGTGGCTTTTTTAAAAAAGCCATTGTTTATTTAAATGTTTGTTCAGTGTTTGTTCAAATGAAGGTTGTTTTTCATTTGTTTTATTGTTCAATCATTCAGAAGCTGAGGTTGGGCAGGAAAGGAATACATCCTTTTCAATAAATAATAAACATGCCTGTCAGTTTCACGGCTCATCCTCGGCTCTAGGATTAGCNGATTAGCAGAGGGGGGGGGGAGACGGCGCCTCTTTCCACTTCCTCCACAAAAACCTAGCCGGCAACATCTAACCCACTCCACCCACCCCAAATTCTTAGTTGGGTTTTCTCCAAACCCAAAAGGGTTTTCTGCCACGGCCCGGCTCCTCCCGCCCTCCCACCTAGACATTTGCTCCCAAGCCTGCTTCTCATCCACCCTAAACCCCACTTCAATCCAGTCTGAACTTGAGCA